AAGGTCCCTTAGTGGTCCTTCTTCCATGAGTAGCAGTGAACCAGGGGAAAAGGGAGAGAAACCAGCTGGCACAGGGAGGGGTCATCTCCACAACATTCCATTTATACACAGGACTAAACAGACAAGCACAGAGTCACTATTTCGGTTAGAAGTTGGCAGCATGGGAAGGGGGAGGAACAAGTGGGGATGGGGGATGTTGTTAAAAAAAAATACAGGCTCCCCCTACAACTGGGGGACCTGAGGGGAACTTGGTCTGCTTCAGCCCAAGAAGAATCAGAAGATCAAAAGCAGTTTGGGAAGGCCAGAACCGTCAGGGATGGGGGGAGGAGGAAAATCCAGGGGGTATGGGGTCTGTTTGGCAACTGGGGTGAAGGGATTGCCCTCCCCCTGCTGGGATCCCCCCAGCCCCTCCGGTCTGGCAGAAAGGGGGCAGCCTGCAACCCCCAAGGGCAGGTATGGGGCTGCCAGATGCTCCAGGCAGAGGGCCAGAAGGGGCTCACAAAGCTTGCCCTCCAGGGAGATGACGGCACTGCCCCCCAGCTTCTCTGCCAGGGTGCAGCAGTCCTTGACCTCCTAGTAGCAGTTTGCTTGCAATTCATGCTTGATCCCCGTCAGCTTCTTGAGGGCGTCCTTGGAGGTGGCATAGATCATTTTGCTCTTAAGGGGCGCAGACTCAGGAGCCCAGAAGATAAAACACCAGGTCTTCCTTCTTGGTCTCGTAGGTTGCATTATAAAGGGCGCCGCGGCAGTCCTTATCTGGCAGCATCTTGACAAAGGTGGCGTAGCGGTCGTCAACAGTTTGGCCCACATCGCCCACCAGGATCTCCTTGCCCTCCTCCAGGATGATGTTCTTCTTGTCCTCACTCAGGCAGAAGAGCACAGCCTTCTTGCGCTTCTTCACCTCCTCCGGTGTTGAAGACTTACGCACCTTCATGTCATTGAACACCTTGATGACACCATCAGAGACAGCCACACCAGAGGCCATGTTTCCGGAAGTGAAAGGGAGAGGGCACGGAAAGCCGCAGAAGAAGAGAGCGCTGCAGCCGCTGCCGGGACCCGACTCTATTTATTTTTTAGTAGCGACGAGGTCTCACTATGTTGGCCAGGTTGATCTTGAACTCTTGGCCTCAAGCAATCCTCCCACCTCGGCCTCTCAAAGGGCAAGTATTACAGGTGTGAGACACCATGCCCAGCTATTCTTCAGCTTAAATGAGATATTTCTGCGTAATTCTTACCAAAACACCTGCCTGGCACACCGTAAGAACACAATAAAACCTGTTGTTATTACTACCTAAGTACTAGGCACACAATGGGTGCTAACTTTAACTTAAATATAATAATTTATTACTACATCAATACTTGTCTTCTTTCAATAACAAATGTTTCTTGAATACAACAACACATGCTGATTATTTCTTGTGGCTGAAAACTCTCCCAAACTTACCGATATTAGTGGCACCAGCATCCAGACTGTTTTCTACTAACTCCTTCACTGCAGTACTTAGACTCAGTACCACTTGCCCAGAGCAAATCTGGTGAACTGACTTCCGATCGATAGGTCTGATGGCCTTAGCAGGTTCTGTGCTAAAGAAATCAGTTACAAGAAACAAAGCAAGTATTCAGCTATATATTTTCATCCTGATTTTAACTGTGGGAACTGACTCAATACTGTAAATAGTTTATGGGTCAAATCTATTCATTTATTATATTAACAAATGCATTTATTTATTCATTATTTGTTTATTTTGAGACGGAGACTCACTCTGTCACCCAGGCTGCAGTGCAGTGGTGTGATCTTGGCTCACCACAACCTCCCTCACCTGGGTTCAAGCAATTCTCCTGCCTCAGCCTCCTGAGTATCTGGGATTACAGGCACCTGCCACCTCGCCCAGCTAATTTTTGTAGTTTTTAGTAGAAATGAGGTTTCACCATCTTAGCCAGGCTGGTCTTGAACCCCTGACCTTGTGATCCACCCACCTCAGCCTCTCAAAGTGCTGGCATTACAGGCATGAGCCACCAGGCCTGACCAACAAATACATTTATTATATCCAGAAATAGAAACATTGTTTTACAATCCTTAAACATGTACCCAAAATAATTCTGGAGAGACATTTGGAATTCAACAGATACTTACTATCTAATTATACTAGGATCCACAAGGAGAAAATACACATTGTATCCCTCAAATTACCAAAATCTTTGGCAACAATGGTGTCTTCTTTCTTGAAAAGTGAAAGCATGACCAGGTGTGGTGTCACATGCCTGTAATCCCAGCACTTTGGGAGGCTGAGGCGGGTGGATCATTTGAGATCAGGAGTTCGAGACCAGCCTTGCCAGCTTGGGTAAACACCATCTCTACTAAAAATATAAAAAATCAACCAGGCATGGTGGTAGATGCCTGTAATCCCAGCTACTACAGAGGCTGAGGCAGGAGAATTGCTTGAACCTGGGAGGCCGAGATTACAGTGAGCCAAAATTGCACGTCGTACTCCAGCCTGGACGACCAGCGAAACTCCACCAAAAAAAAAAAAAAAAGTGAAAGCAACATTTCCACATAATTTGAAAAACCAAGAGTATGCTGAGAGTGTGCTGGGAAATACACAATGTCTGAGTCAAAATCATCTCAGAAATTGCATACCAGTTATGTAACTATTCCTATACATATTCCTGTGTAGTTGTCTTTGTTACCCCACTCCAAATTCAAGCTGCCAGCTGCTGTTTTAGCAAAGACCCTCAAAGTTCTTGCCGTACTAGCTTTAAGAGTTTTACAACGGTTTTATCTCCCCTTACTCCCTGCTCCAATCCATCCTCTTACCACCAGAGCTATTTTTGAAATCACAAATCTGGTCAAATAAATTTTCTGCTTAAAAATTTACTAGTGCCCCACTTCCTACTATATGACATTTAAAATCTACTCATCACTGGGCCTAAAACTAATCTCTCTAATCCTTTCCCTTCGTCAAGTCCCCTACATTATTTTTTTTATTACTTTTTTTTTTTTTTTTTGAGACAGAGTTTCACTCTTGTTGCCCAGGCCAGAGTGCAGTGGCACAATCTCTGCTCACTGCAACCTCCGCCTCCCAGGTTCAAGCGATTCTCCTGCCTCAGCCTCCCAAGTAGCTGGGATTACAGGTGCCCACCATGACACACAGCTAATTTTTGTATTTTTAGTAGAGATGGGGTTTCACCATGTTGAACAGGCTGGTCTCGAACTCCTGACCTCAGGTGATCCGCCCACCTCAGCCTCCCAAAGTGTTGGGATTATAGGCATGTGCCACCACACCTGGTCATGCTTTCACTTTTCAAGAAAGAAAACACCATTGTTGCCAAAGATTTTGGTAATTTGTAATTTGAGGGATACAATAAAAAATGTAGGTGCCATCCCCTACATTTTTAGCACAGTGACTGTTTCCTGAACATCATAAGTGCTTTTAGATGCCAGTGTATAAGCAGGGCTCTCTAAACTGCTCTCTTCTTCCTCCTCTGCCCAACCAATGCCTGCTCATCCAAAGAATGTATCCCATGTGTTCATTAACTTAGCAATTTCCAGTAAACAGTTTAATTGATAACTTGATAAGAGAAAGCAGGAAACCTCCATGAAAGGAAAATCACTGGGTATTTCCTCCAGCATCGAACACATCATAGACCTTCAATAAACCCTTGTGAAATAAACAAACCTCTTTATTCTTCATTCTACCTTTCTAAGAATCTCACCTAAGTTTGTCTACCATGTGAAACTGCAGATGACCTCACAGAAAATGGAAAACATCTCTAAAAATAAGTTTATTTGGCAACACACCACAGGCTACAGGTCTGCTTCTGATATTTATTCTGAGGAGGGAATGCATTTAGATACAGACACCCATTTATTTAAATGTCTCAAAACATTTAAATGTAGTTACATAAATATATCTAATATATTTAAATACAGAGAGCAAATTCGTGTTTACAAATCTGACATGGAATCCAACTGTGTTAGCCAAGATTCAGTGCAGCTCACCAGCCAGAAATCACATACCCTAACAGGCACTGCATTTTTTAAAACTGCGCGGCTATGCAAATTAGGATGTGTCTGGACGCTGCACCTCCCCCAAAATAACCTCAATTAAAAAAAAAAAAAAAAACAAAAAGGCCAGGCATGGTGCATCACGCCTGTAATTCCAGAACTTTGATAGGCCGAGGCGGGCGGATCACTTGAGCTCAGGAGTTGGAGACCAGCCTGGGCAACATTGCGAGATCCCCGTCTCTACAAATAATAATAATAATGATAATAAAATTAAATAAAATAATATAAAAATAAAAGGGGAGAGAAAACAGGAAGAAAGGAAATGCAGTCTATGGGGATTTCACTATCCAGCTCCAAGTCCACGGCCCTCTGAGAAGTGGACAGGGCCTGCGTGGGACAGGCCGAACCCAACTCCTCACGGGGCAGAATCTTTTGCCCGCAGCCCAGAACCTGGAGGAGTTCGCCGGGTCTCAAAGCGTACCCAAAGGGCGCCGGGTGGCGGGGGCACTAAGGACGTCGCTCCAGGGCCTCCACACGGCGGCCTCGCCACGCGCCTCGGCCATGTTCCCCCTATTTCCAGGGAGGCTGGAACGCCGTGGGTCTCAAGGAGGGCGCGCGCGAGGGGAGACCGCGAGCCCCGCTCACCTCGAGGCCTCAGCTCGCTCCATGGATGCAACAACCGATCCGCCTCAGGGACTGGGAACGTTCCCTTGAAGGCTCCCACAGGCGCCCCGCCTCCTGGCCTCCCATTGGCTGCTTTCGACGTTGTGCTCCACCCTTTCCGGGCGGGGCAGCAAACTACTTCCCGTCTCTCCTTCTCGTCTATAGGCTCTGTCAAAGGTCGAGTACGTGGCGTCAAAGAGCCTGGGCCAATCAGAGCACCCTAGACTGCGTTTTCCCGAACGCCCGCAGCAGGGTCAGAAAGGAGGTGGCAACCCTCAGTCGTGGTCTTGGACCGTTTCTGAACGTTGGTGTCTGGCAGCGCCACCCCCTCTTGCTTTGGTGCCGCGATGCCTATGTACCAGGTAAAGCCCTATCACGGGGGCGGCGCGCCTCTCCGTGTGGAGCTTCCCACCTGCATGTACCGGCTCCCCAACTTGCACAGCAGGAGCGGCGGCTCTGCGCCGGGCACAGGCCACGTGCAGGTAGGAGCGCTGGGTGGGGCTGCGTAGTGCGCACGCGCGGCGGCCGGCTGCTGGCCGCAGTTTCCCCAGTCTTGAGCGAGTGCGTCCCATGCGGTTCGCGGCCCCACCTGGCCTCTGTGCCGGACGGCCTGGGACTCACTCAAACTTTTGTCCTTTGAAGATCTATTCAGGCCGGGCTCCGTGGCTCACGCCTGTAATCTCAACACTTTGGGAGGCAGAGGCGGGCGGATCACCGGAGGTCAAGAGTTCGAGACCAGCGTGACCAACATGGTGACACCTCATCTCTACTAAAAATACAAAAATTAGCCCGGCGTGGTGGCGAGCGCTTGTAATCCCAGCTACTCCGGAGGCTGAGGCAGGAGAATCCCTTGAACCTGGGAAGGCGGGTTTTGCAGTGAGCCACAATTGCGCCACTGCACTCCATCCTGGGCAACGACGAGAACGAAACTCCATTTCAAAAAATAAAAATAAAAAAGATCTATCCAGGCCGGGCGCGGTGATTCATGCCTGGAATCCCAGCACTTTCGGAGACCGAGGTGGGAGGATCGCTTGACCTCCGAGAGTTTGAGATCTGCCTGCGCAACATAGCAGGACCCCGTCTCTATTTTAAAAATGTTTTAATTAAAATAAAAATCTATCCATATTTTTTCTTTTTTTCACATATGGCTGTTTAAACTTTTTAGTTCAGCGATTCTACCCTCTGAAAAGTGAATAGCACATAAATGTTCATTTTGAGGAATTACAAAGCGAACCCCAGGGTCACCACGGCCCAGGTTGACACACGTCACTGCTCCATTCTTTCCACTTAAACCTTTGCCCTGGAGGTCTTGATTTTTATGGTAATTATGTCCTGCTTGTCTCTATTATTTTGTCAACTAAGTATGTGTCCCTAAACGATATAGTCTGTTTTTTTTTTTTTTT